CTGAATTCTACTAAACAAGCTAGTTCCATTATATGTGTCACTTTGAACTCCATAAGGCAGAAAATATTCAATATTTTTGGCAAGTACAGAATACCAGTATATCGGCACCCTACCTGCTCTCAAGGCAGACTAAAAAAGGATTTCGCAATAAATCCTGTGCGATTTCGCAATAAATCCTGTGCTGTGGAGCAAATTTGCAAAGGGCAGGACTCGGCACGAGGTAGCTTTCCGAAAATGCAAAAAACGATCCCCTTTAACTTTCGCAGAATTTTACGAAGTCCTTTTCACCCTAAACTCAAAAGTAAAAAAAACCCTCAAATAATATGACGGACTAGTCGCAAAAACGATATGCGGTTTGCATATAAGCCACCTGTGCCGAGCCCTGGCAAAGGGCGACCGCTTTGCGATGTATCAGAGATGATATGATTATGCTTAACCTGAAGATAAAGCAAAATCCAAACACTTTTGTTCACGATAAAAATCTTCTTTTGAATTTTCGTTTTCTCTTGTCATCCAAACAACCACCCTCTTTTAAAATCTCTGCCAGTGTTTTTTTTAGAAAGAGTACAAATGCATACTTGCACTGTCGTCCTCTTCCGATGCAAGGTGGTATTTTGGTGCTCCTCTCTTCAAACAATACTGCGTCACTTTCAATATAAAGAAAAGCAATCTTGGATTGGCTAGCACAAGATTTAACTATTCTACAACAAGCAGCACTCGTCGGTAAGCAAGAAATGTTCTGATTTTCTTTCAACTTGCTTTGTTAGACTTACCAATTTACAAACAGAGTTTTGGTCATACTTTATCAAAATACTACACGCAAACATTCATAAAATACACTTCAGAACCTTCATCTCCACAACACCACGCAACATCACCCGGACCGCTTCTTCGTCTACCCGAAGGTCAGCTTGAAAAAAAAATTTTTTGTCATAACTTTATCAGAATACTACACGCAAGCATTTATAAAATACACTTCAGAACCTTCAACTCCACAACACCACGCAACATCACCCGGATCGCTTCTTCGTCTACCCAAAGGTCAGCTTGAAAAAAAATTTTGTCATACGACTTCTACAAAGACTTTTTGTTACACTATCAGGAATTCAGTACTCAAAGCTTTGTTTGCTGCTCTAAAACAACAACAAAATCGCAGCCAGAGGATTAAATTGTTCTTGAATGGCCTATCGCGGAATATTGCGGCATGCCTAAAACAAATAAAAGGTGAAAAA